TGCGGGGTCCCTGGAGGTCCCGACCCCTTCCCTGGGACCGATTTTTCATCCTGAGTCGTTTTTTGACGGTCCTGGGGCCCAGCGAGGGTACTTAGATTCCGAAAAGGGCGAAACTCCTCCGTCTTTTTTTTTCAATACGTTGGATCTTTGGGTAGGGTTTTTTCCCTTTCTGTCGACCACGTCGATGCACGGATTTCCGTCTCCTCGGATGCGACGACTCCATGCACCGATGTGGTTCGGGGGCCTGCAGCGGGGCTACCTTGAAGTCGGGCCTGTCCCTCTACAGGAGGAATAATCAAAACAAATAATCTGCAGACGATTTGATGAATATGTTTTGACCATTTTAGGGTATTTGTTTGACTATTTCTTATTTTTCGTACAAAATCCCCCTGTAGGAGGACAGGCCCGACTCAAGGCTACCTGGGTCTGACGGAGCTGCCTGGCCCCCACGCGCGCGCGCGCCGTGCGCGTATGGTTTTCGCGTGGCCCACCCGCGGCGGCAGGGCGCCAGAGTTTTTGGGAGTCGTTGATGATGATGATGATGATGATGATGATGATGATGATGATGATGATGATGATGATGATGATGATGATGTTGATGATGCTGCTGCTGATGATAATGCTGCTGCTGCTGATGATGCTGATGATGATGCTGCTGAGGATGATGCTGATGATGATGCTGATGCTGATGCTGATGCTGATGCTGATGCTAATGATGATGCTGTAGCTGATGCTGCTGCTGATGCTGATGATCCTGCTGCTGCTGCTGATGCTTATGATGTTAATGGTGGTGATGATACTGCTGATGCTGATGACGATGATGCTGATGCTGCTGCTGCTGATGAGGATGATGATGATGATGATGAGGATGATGATGATGATGATGATGATGATGATGATGATGATCATGATGATGATGATGATGATGATGATGATGATGATGATGATGATGATGATGATGATGATGATGATGATGATGATGATGATGGTGGTGATCTACACACGTATCATGTGCTACCATGCCAAAGCCTGGGCATCTTCCGCCGAGCCTCTCCACGAATCGCCTGTGGTTCGTTTGCCGGCCAGCGCCGTCACGAGCTATCATATTCGAGAGGCTTTGCGGCCAGTTCCGCCGACCCCGCGAGGGGATAGCCGTGCGGCCCGGCAGGGCCGCGAGGGAGCCGATGAGCGCGCACGAGGGCAAGGCAGCGATCCTCTCAGAGCGGCCTGTTGTGGACGCCACAAGAAGAAAAGCGCAATAAGAAGAAGAACAACGAATAATCATAGTTATCATATTGATAATACTAGTAGTAATAATACTCAGAAGATAAACGTCATAAACATAAGAAGAACCACGCCATAAACCAGAGGCCTTTTCTCGAAGAAGAAAACGCCATAAACAAAAACCGGGGAGGCCTCATGGCCCTGGCCGTGACATCCCCCCCTGGTCTTCACCCCAATCTTGGCCGCTCCCGAGTCTATGCAGCCAAGATTAGAAGAACCACGCCATAAACATAAACCTTTGGCGCTCCGCGCGGAGCGCCAAAAGTTTAATGCTCATGGCATCTCTTCCTCTTCTACGCCCAGAGCGGCGCCTGTTGTGCACCAGAGGCCCCCTGGCTGCATAGACTCGGGAGCGGCCAGGAGTGGCGTGAAGCCCAGGGGGGGGATCTCATGGTCATGGTTACGATGCTTCACAAGATTCCGTGGCCCCCCCTCCCCTTGGTCCACGCACATGTCTCGGGCAATGGTTCACACCCCCCTTCTTGGACGCCCACCTCTTGGACGCCCCCGATATTCAAGGGCATCGCCTCCTGGAGTGCTCTGCGGGGCTCCTGAGGCCCTGGGGGGCTTCGGAGAGCCCAGCTGGGGCCTCTTGGGTGCGGGGGCTCTTGGGGGCCTTTTGGGGGCCTCCTGGGGGTCTCTTGGGGGCCCACAGGCGGTCTCGGGGTTCATCTTTTTCAGGAGGGAAAAACACATCGACACAATGAATCGTCGATTCCCGAGAAAAAACATGGGAACATGTCGGAAATGGGAGGAAGGCAAAAACCCAGAACATGTGGGAAACTATGGGGAATCTTTCTTATTTGTGTGTGTTTATTGGTGTGTCCTTGGCCCCCTAAAAGCAAACAAGAAACATGAATGTTTGGCACTCCGCGTGGGTTTCTTGGATCCGCGCTGGGCCGCCCCAGCGGCGCCTCCGACGCCGCCCCCTGGCGCGCTCCGCGCGCCAGGGAGGGGGGGTCCAGCGTGGATCCAAGAAGTCCGCGCCGAGCGCCAAAAGTTAATGCTTATGCCGTGCTTTCTTCCTTTCATATCTTGGGGCTCGAAATGGCCGCCTTGGGCCACCTTGGGGCCCTCCTGGGGCACTCTTGGGGCCCCCTCTTTGGGGCCCGTGGGCCGAGTAGGGGAAGTCTTTGGGGGGCCTCTTGGAAGACCGAAAAGGCGAGAACGCTAAAAGCTTGCAACAACCTATGGCTGCAGTGGAGACCCATGCCAATAAACACCCTGCTTGCCTCCAGGGTACCCTGGGTTTCTTAGGTTTCGGTGATTTTGCTATGAACAGCGTGACGTTCCCACACCAAGAGTCAATGGACGTCCTGGGGTTCCAGGGTTGGGTTTCTTGCGGAAGGTTTCTTGTGGTCAAGCTCTTATTGTAATCAATGATTCTTGCCTCTTGAGCTCCTTGTGGGTTTTCCTTGGGGCTCCTTAGACTGTCTTGAAGGCCTCTTGGGCCTTCTCGGTGACATCTTGGGCGTCTTGGGCCTACGTTGCCGGAAGAGAACCAACCTGGCCCGAGGATTGCCCAACATGGCAGGGGGGAACACATTTTGACCCAGGATACCCCTCCGATACCCGACTCGGCGCTTTCCCTTGGGCTTGCGATCTTGAACCGCTCCACTCGGCGACCTCGCAACGCTCCTGTCGGGCTGGTGACTCTGATAGCGCTCCGATATGCTGGGCTCCGCGAGGCTCTCCTTAAACCTCCCACACACGCCGAAATGCTTACATGGGCTGGCGGCGAGTTCGACTGATCTCCCTACCAGTCGGTCGTTGAAAGCAGGTATTCTTTGACGCCCGAGTCCCAATCCGCTTTGGGCGCCTCCCTACTTCGAGAGCCGAGTGGGCTCCCCCCCTGCCTCCTCCTCCTCAGGCGGGTGGAGACCCAATCTACCTTCAACGCCTGCCCGGCTTCCTGCTTCCGCCCACTCCTGTCCGACCGACCGGTGCAGGGGGCTGGCGGAGAGCTCGCCCGATCTCCGCAACCCTCGAGTCCGAGGCCCGAAAACCATCACTTCACTGATTTTGGGCCCCAGGGCCCACTGAGGCCCCCGGGGCCCCATAGTAGTGAAGTGATGTTGTTTTCTCCCACGTAAGGACCCCGAAAGTCATCACTTCACTGAGCCGAGCCCAGGACGAAAGTCAGGGGCCGACTTGCTGCTGTGATGCAACATCGGTCTCGTATCGAGGTCCCCGGGGTCGGCCAGGGCTGGGGCCTCGGAGGGGCCGGGAAGCCCCGGTGCCCCTCCCCGCTTCCTCTCCTCCCTCCTCCTCTCTCCCCTCCTCCTCCCTCCTCCTCCTTCCTCCTCTCTCCTCCTCCTCTCCTCCTCCTCCTCCCTCCTTCCTCCTCCTCTCCCTCCTCCCCTCCTCCTCCTCCTCCTCTCCTCCTCCTCCTCCTCCTCCTCCTCTGGCGCCCCTCCGCACCGCCGCGGGCGGCGAGCGGCTCCCGCGCGCGTGCCCCGTCGCCCTCCAGGCCCCCCCCCCCCGGGCGAGCGGCGAGGGGGCCCTCCCCCGCCCAGTCGGCGGCGGGCGAGGGGGGGAGGCGCAGGGCTCATTTCGACTCCTCCGATTCGATTCGATTTCGATGGCTTCCGATTCCGATTCGATTCGACTTGGGATTCCGATTCGGATTCCGATTTCTTATTGGATGCATACTAGCCTGTCGATTTCCGCCGATCCGACTTCTCCCGATTTGGCTGCCGATTTCCCCCGATCCGATACATTCCGATCGCCGATCCGACTTGTCGATTCGATTATGGGCTCTCCTGGAGGCGAGGAGGAGGAGGCCTCCTCAGAGTGCGGCGTGGCTTCTCAGGAGGCCTCCGGCCTTCTGAGGAGGAGGAGGGGGGGAGGCGAGTGAGGAGGCCTTCTCCGAGGGCCTCCCCCAGTCGGCGGGGGGTGACGGGGGGAGGCGAGGAGGAGGAGGCCTTCTCAGAGGGCGGCGTGGCTTCTCAGAAGGCCCTCTCCCGCCCAGTCGGCGGCGGGCGAGGGGGGAGGCGAGGAGGAGGAGGAGGAGGCCTTCTCAGAGGTCAGGAGCGACAGAAGGACGTACACTTGCATGAATCCACGCTGGTTTCGAGAGTTCGCATGGCGCGAGTGTTCGTGTCGCGCGGCAGGTCTCGCGGATCAAGGGACCGTGTTCATGTACATAGCTGGGCGCGTACGTCCTTTGTGTGCTCCCGAAGAGGGCGGGGTGGCTTCTCAGAAGGCCTCCGGCCCTCTGGGGGGTCTTCTGCGTCTTCGGGGAAGGCTCAGAGAGCACTCGTCGGAAGGCCGGGGAGCTTCCGCGCCTTCCGAGGAGGCCCGCCCCTGCTCGCTTCCCCCTGGGGGCTCGCCGCCGACGCTGGCTGGTGGTTTTCCCTTCCTCGCGGCGGCCCTGCTCGGCGTCGGGCGTGCGGAGGGCCCTCTGGCTGCTGCTTCCACGGGGGGCGCGAGGCCAAGCCGCGCGGGGTGGGGGTCAGGGTCCGCGGCGGTGGTCAGACCCCCTTTTCAGCTCGACACGGCCGGCGTGGCACGCGTCCGTGAGCATTTTGGCTCCGGCTGGGCCACCTGCGCTCTCTGGGCTTGGCCCCTCGGCTTGCGTGGCCATGGCCTCGCAGCAGCCCCAGGGCCTGCAGGTGGCCGGCTGCGCCGACAAGTCCATAGGCCCCATCGTCAACGGGCAGTTTGTCCCCAACGGCCAGAACCACAGCAGGCCCGTCTACAAGAAGACGACCCAGGCGAACGGCGTCGACGTGCAGATCTACTTCTGGGACGAGCGGGACGGGGCCGACTTCTCGGGCTGGTGGTTCGGGCCGAAGGTCGGTGGCGACCAGGTGTGGGCCTACAACCCCGAGAAGGCCGCCGTGCCCCCGTCGGGCGGGTGGAGGGTGCCCTTCGGCGGCCCCGTGGACGCGCAGTTCGTGGTCTCGCCCGCGGCGCAGCAGCCGCTGGGGCAGCAGGCGCCGAACATGCAGCCGCCGAACATGCAGCCGCCGAGCATGCAGCCGCCGAGCATGCAGCCGCCGAGCATGCCGCGGCAGCCGGGGCCTTCAGGGGCACAGGGGCAGCAGGCGCAGGGGGGCGTCGTGCAAGCGGCGCAGGGGCAGCTGCAGCAGCTGCTCTCGTTCCTGCCGCAGCACCAGCAGGTGCTGAGCCAGCAGCAGATGCAGCTGGTCCGAGAGGCGTGCCAGACGCAGCCGCAGCAGGTGCAGCAGCTGCTCGGCAGCCTCCTGCAGGAGCAGCGGCACGCGCAGGCGCAGATGCAGCAGGCGCAGATGGGCGTTCAGGCGCAGATGCAGCAGATGCAGGCCATGGGGAACGTGGCTGGCGTGCATCATCTGCAGCAGACGTTCGCCATGCAGACGGCGCAGCTCCAGCAGCAGCACATGGCGCTGCAGCAGCGCCACATGCAGCAGCTTGGCCAGCTGGCCAGCAACCAGCAGGCGAGCGTGGCGGCGAAAAAGCAGAAGATGGAGGAGACGAGGCAGAAGCTGGAAGAGCAGCGTCGGCAGATGCAAGAGCAGGCGAAGAAGCGCCAGGAGGAGCTGGCGGCGAAGCTCGCGGAGGAGAAGCTCAGGCGGGAGACTGAGATGAAGAGGCGCATCGTGGAGCAGAGGGTGCAACTGAGCATCCGGAGAATTCTCGTGAAACTGAGGGCGGCGACGCCAGACACCTACGATGCCGCTGAGAAGGAGCTGGAGGACCTCCTGCAGCAGGAGTTGGAACAGAATTGCTATGTGCCGTCAGACCAGGTCAAGCAGGAGATTGAGGTCGTCAGAGAGAAGCAGAGACAGCGAATCGAGCAACTCCGGGTGCAGCAGGAGGCAGCGAGGAAGAGGAGGGAGGAGCAGCAGAAAAAGCACGACGACCTGAAGTTGCGCGCAGAAGAGCTCGTGAAGGAGCTCGACGGCTACGTAGCCCAGGCCGAATCCGCCAGCAAGCATCTCGATGATGTCTTGGCTCCCTTGGAAGGCAACGGCGAGATGAACTGTGACGAGATCGAGGAGATGGGTAAGGGTGTCGCTGCGGCCGAGGTGCAGGCCAGGACTGCATTCAACGTGTGTAATGACTTCATGGTAAAGCACAATGCGGAGATGAGGGTTCCTCCAGCTCAGGCTGCTTCTCCGGGTCCGATGAGGCCCCCGGGCGAGGCTGCTCCTCCTGACACGGGGCCCGCAACGCAACAACTGCTCGCGGACCTGGTCGGCCGCATCAACGCGTGCAGGGAGAAGCAGCTGGCCGCCGCCTCCTCCGTGCCCCAGGCGCGCGAGAGGGCGAAGCGGAAGGCAGCTGCGCTCCAGCTGAACACCGAGCTCCAGGCGGTGTTGTCGCGGTACGACTCCGACGGAGACGGTGCACTCTCGCGGAAGGACGTCCAGAAGCTCGCCAAGCAGGAGTTTGGCTTCGACTTGCCCGACGCCGTGCTGAGCAAAATATCCGGCTGCCTGTGGCGAATCCCGCCACCGAGCCAGCGCAGCGGCGCGGCAGGAAGAAGGTTGCCCCGACGACCCGTTCCAGGGAGGAGGAGGAGGAGGAGGAGGAGGAGGAGGAGGAGGAGGAGGAGGAGGAGGAGGAGGAGGCGCCCTGTCTGGACTGGCGCGGGTCTTAATATCCACACCCTGCTTGTCCGCAGCCTCTCGATATCTCCCCGTCTTCCCTCAAGTCTAAGAGTAACTCCTAGCAGCACCTTGCGGGGTCTGCCTGGAGCCTCTTGGGGTCTTCTCGGGGGCCCCTCGGGGGCCCGTTGGGGGCCGTCGGGCCCGTCTGAGGTCTCGGAGCCGTGGTGGGTGCGATGGTTCACCCCGGCTCCCTCTGAAAGGCTCAATTGAGGCACTTGGGGGGAAGCACGATCGCCCTCTCGGGGTGGCCTGTGGCCGTCTGGGGGGGTTCCTCGGGCAGTCCTGCGGCCGTCTTGCAACCCTTTTGAGCCCATCTCGGAGGCCCTTTCTGGGCTCTTTGAACCTTTCCCAGGCCGATCTGAGCCGACAGGTTTCAAATGCCTTTCGTCCTCTCGGGCCTCTCTGGCGGCCTCTTCGTGCGTCTCCCGGGGGTGGAGCCTCTTCGTGCATGTTTGGGGCATCGCCGAGCCTCTCGGGCATCGTTGGGGGCAGTCTTGGGCTGGTCTTCGGGGATTTCGCACCTTTCTTGGGCTGGTAGCTTGGTCTTCTTAGAGCTGACCGAGGCCAACAATGGCGCTGAGGAGCAAACCTTTGGAGGGACGACTTCTGCACCCCGGTCGCTGCGAGGCGGGAGTCGTCAGAGGAGGAAAATGTACCCACACCTCTACCTTTCACTAGTTTTCTTCTTTTTGGACCTCCTGGGAGGCCCTCGTCGCCACCGCTGAATTCGCCTCGACGTGATGGTTAGAACGCACCCCGGGAGAGGTCCAGGGAGTAGCGGTATCTGTACATGTTGGTTTCCCCAAGTCGCCAATTGAAAACTAGCGATACCGTACCAGAGAGCAACCAGCATTAGAGTACTCCGCTATCGCGCCAGCGCGGCGGCGGATTCAGGACCGACGTGGAATCGCCGATCGTGAGGGATGGCTCCAAGGGCGTGCAGCTCGAGGGCCTTCCCCTGGTCAGGGCGCACATTGGCGCAGCTCGGGAGCTGGATCGGGACACGAAGCGGCGAAAGCTGCGCCTCGAGAGAGAAGCAGCGTTCCAGAAGGTGGTCGGGAAGCTTGCGGAGAAGGTGAGCGAGGCGGAAAAGCGGGGCCGTCTTCACCGACACCGGCGCGTAAGCCGCCCGCGCAAGGCCCCGCGTGAGCGCCCCCTTCTCTGATGGGCCTGGGTTCCACCACCACCACCACCATAAGTTGGGGGGGAGAGAGGTAGAGGATGACGAGGAGGAGAAGGAGAAGGAGGAGGAGGAGGAGGAGGAGGAGGAGGAGGAGGAGGAGGAGGAGGAGGAGGAGGAAGAGGAGGAGGCGGAGGAGGAGGAGGAGGAGGACCCCTCCCCCTCCTACGTATGGTGGTTGTGGTGGTGGTGGAAAGCAAGCCCACTGTTCTCCTCGCGGTGTGCCGCGCTGGCGGCCCGCGTACGCCGCCGCGTGAGCTAGGTCGCCGTGCCACCTCGCGTGGGAGCCGTTTATTGTCTCGTCTTATGATGCTCCGGCATTCTTTAGCCTTGACCACCAGAAAGAGTTTCGAGCACCAAGAATGTACAGAAACCGGAGGACTTTCACACGTGTCGGACCCGGGGAGGCAATATACTCTTCCGACACTGCTCCGATACCTCTTTTTCTGGGCGTTCGCACTTATGATTACGTATTTCTGGGATGTGGTCCTCAAGTGCGATGGGAATCGCCGCCCAGGTGAAGCAGCTGGACGTCGTCATCAAGGGCGCGGAGAGGGGGATTGCCGCCGCCGAGGCGCGGGTGAACCCGCTGCCCACGCAGAGCAGGAAGAGGCCTGCCGCGGAGGTGGAGGCCCTCGCCGAGGAGAGCGAGGGCCCCATCGGGGAGGCCGCGGAGGGCCTGGCGGCGGCTCGCCGGCAGTGGGACGGCGTGCTCGACGGCTTCGACGAGAAGATCGCCGCCGATCTCAAGAGCTTCCTGAGGATCCTTCGCCTGCATATGGGGGTCAGCCGGTTGGGGGGCAGGGAAAGGTGAGCTCTGGTCCTCGGGCGGTCCTTGTTCGGGGCCGTAGCTGCATCAGCAACTCTAGCTCACTTTTTGGTTTCTCCCTCAAGCAGTGCTTGCACTTAAGGGTCTCTTATTGGTCCTCTGAGGAACTCGGCCCCACCTGGTCGCTGCCCGTCGTCTGGGCCTGCCTGTTGGTCGCCGCGCTTGTTGACGCCGTCGCCGCCCCGTCGCCGCCCCACATGGATTGTACATCAGAAGTTTCACAACATAGATTTCACCACATACACATTGTACACCACACATATAAGTAGCACAACATCTATTGCACCAAACTGCACCAAATCGATGGCAAGGCATTGGTTGCACCACATAGGTTGCACCACCTCGATAGGTCCACATAGATTGCACAACATATGATGTACAGTACATATTGCACAACATAGATTGCACAACATATATTGCACACCCTAGATTCATCAGATGTCGTACAACATGTATTGTACCGCATGTGTAGTGCACCGCATCGGTTTCACCGTGCGCATGTTTGTGTACATATATATATATATATATATATATATATTTACACGTAGAAAGCAGTGCATCACACATTGCACAACAGGTATTGCACCATATTGGTTGATCCGTATATATTCAAACACACATCGAACCACATAGAGTGAACACCACACCACACATTGCACACCTTTTAATTCTCCTTTTTAAAAAACAGAATAGACTCTACCCCCCCCGGAGTTATCGCCCCACCTTCGGGTATGTAAATCACATATGATTCTGACCACATGTCCATCCTAAATATAATCACGATGTCCCAGGCCAACCGGTACCCCCCCCCCCCCTGAGGTTCCCTTGTAAAAAACACTATGCGGTGACATTTTTTGTTCTAACACAGCACTTTTTCACGAATCCCTGGCAAAAGATGTGACGAAGTGCACACGCGCGCGTCGTCGCGTGCGCATGTCGGAATCCTTCAAAAACCTTCGGTGCCGGAAGGATTTCGCAATCGAGTTTCCAAAACACATACAAAAACACAGGGTTTCGTAACACTGATTTGCTAAAAAAACTTACGCGCGAGCTCTTGCGAAATCTTAAGGAAACCATTGGCTTTTCAAGATTTTCACAACATGCTACCAAACATGCGTCGCGCGCGCATGTCGAAATCTGTCGAACGCCCTTGCGCGTGTGCCGTCGCGAGAGTCCTCTGCAAAAAATTGGACGAAGTGCAGACGCGCGCGTCGTAGCGCGCGTACGCTGAAATCCTTGAAAACCCACCGGTTTCGGAAGGATTTCAAAATCGCGCGTCCAAAAAACCTCGAAAAACACAAGGTTTCGCAACACGGATTTTCAACAAAAGCGTGCGCGCGCGCTCTTGCGGCGTCGTTGTCGTCGTCGTCGGCGTCGTCATCGTCGTCGTCGTTGTCATCGTCGTCGTCGTCGGCGTCGTCGTCGTCGTCGGTGTCGTCGTCGTCGTCGTCGTCGTCGTCGTCGTCGTTGTCGTTTCGAAGTCGTTGGAGATGTCGTCGGTGTCGTCGTAGTCGGGGTCGGCGGCGCCGTCGTCGTCGTTGTCGCTGTCGTCGTCGGCGTCGGTGTCGTGGCCAAGTGCCATGTGGTACCTACCGTCACGGTCTTGTCTTAAGAGGTCTTGCGACCAAATCGCGGGTGGGAAGGTGGGATGTTTGCACGAGCAGTGGAGAGGACAGCTTCAAGACGGTGAAAGTGGATGTACACCATAGATTGCATCACATCTTTGCAGCGTATGGATGGCTTCACATATATTGTACAGCAGATATTGCAACTTGTTGTAACTCGTCGATCCTGCACAACATATAACAGGTTGCACAATCTATATTGCACCACATCGATGGTAACACGTATATTGCACCACATTGATGGCTCCACATCGACTGAACAGCATATATGGTTTGAAACAGACTATTTGGAGTCCACGTTGGCTAACGTCCTTAGTATTTCCTCCCAGTCTGTTTCTCAGGAACTATGTTCTCCTTAGTTTACCCTTCGCAGATTCTTATCCCCAGAAGTCTGACCCCCATTAGCAGGCAATGAGAGGAAAGATTTTGTGGCGAAAAGGTGTGCCATGACAGTTGGCAAGCTCGATGCCCGCCAGAGCAGACTGGTTCAGATAGTGAAGAACACTCGTCTGCAGGCGAAGAAAAAGTCGGATGTGGAGCTCAGGAAGCTGAAGGGCGCAGCCGTGAAGGTTTTATGCCACGTCAGGCGTTCCAAGAAGTTGAGGCCCGAGCAGCTGTTCGACCTCATGGACGGGAACAGCGATGACCAGCTGGACGAGAAGGAGTTTGTTGCATTCTTCAAGACTGCGGACACAGATGTGAAGACTCTAGAGGTCGTGATCACCACCAAGGAGGTCCCGATAGAGGATGAGCCCGCGCCCGTTGCGGAAGCATCGGCCGAGGTGGCCGCAACGCCAGAGGGTCCGACTGCCTCGGAGGGCGCACCACCGGCTTCAGAGGCGGCGCCGGAGGCATCCAGCGAAGCCGTGCCCGACGCCGAGAAGCCCGCCGGTGACAGCCCTGCCGACGCCGCCCCGACGGGCGGCACTCCCGGAGAGGGCACCCCCGGCGATGGCACCTCTGCCGACGACGTGGCCACCGAGGGCGCCCCCGCCGAGGGCTGCGGCAGCGGCGAGATGGCCCCAGCGGCGCCGAAGGGGGAGATCGTTGTTCACGATCCCGAGGCTGCCAGGCAGCTGGACGAGGAGCTGAAGAAGTTTGCTGCCAACGGGCGCGCGCCTCCCGCGGCGAGGAAGTTCAGGACGGTCCAGGAGGCGAAGGTCGTCGAGCGCGGCGAGACGGTGGAGCTCCCCCCCGCGGAGCTCCCCAGGCTGTTCCAGCACATCCTCGAGGAGGGCTCCGCTGCGATCTCGCGGGAGGCCCTGGCCCGACTGGTGCAGGTGTGCTATACCGTGCTGCGGCCGCCGGGCGAGGGCTCCGGCTGGGAGGGGCGCCCGCCGCTGGTGGGGGAGGTGGTCGAGGTGCTGCAGGGGCCCGAGATGGATATCGGAGGGTACCAACTATACACCAACACCGATCCTGGCCAGTATCACCCGGGGCCCAGGATCGGTGTATACGCCCTCCTGCCTGGGGCAGGAAGGCATTTATACACCGACCCTGGGCGCAGGATTGGCCTGGCCAAGATCGGTGTAGGTGTATGGTTGGTGCCCTCCGAGGATAGCACGACCGGGGAGCTGCGCGTCCAGGCCAAGTCCCTGGTGGACGACGCCGAGGGCTGGCTGACGGTGGTGGGGAGTGACGGCAGCGCGTTCCTGAAGGAGGGCGGCCGGCGCCTCCGGACGCTGAGGGCCGCGCCGCTCACTGGCTCCCTCGCGCCCGGGGGCGAGGTGCTCAGGAATCTGTACGCGGGGGAGCTGCTGTCCGTGGAGGAGTGGCCGACCAGGGACGAGGCGTCGGGCAGCATGCGCGCGAAGGTGAGGACCCTGATGTTCGGCGCCGCGGAGGGCTTCGTGACCACCTGCGACGACACGGGTGCCTGGCTCGCTGAGGGGGTCGCCTAGGCCGCGGGTCGTGGTAGGCCCAAGTCGGGCATGTCTCTCTGCAGGAGGAATAGTCAAAAAGTTAGGTAAAAATAATCAGGGGACGATTTTTGATCATTTCTGGACCATTCCAATTTTTGTCCTCTCACAATTTCTCTTTTTTCCTCCCCAAATCCGCCTGTAGGAGGGCATGCCCGAACGAAGGGTAGGCTCCGCTGCCGCACACGCGTGCAGGCCTCCGGCCTGGCCGCCCTGCCGGGCTGCTCTGCCGTGCACCGCCCCGCGCCGGAGCAAGCGCTAGTCCTATGAATGCATGGCCGCCAGCGAAAGCGCGCCGCCCGAACCTCCCGGGTCGGGCGAGGGGAGGGTACACGGTGGAGGGCCATGCTCGGGGGTCCCCAAACGGGGTGGTGACCACACCGTGCGGTGAGTCGGTGGGGATTCGGGGTCACCGCACGGTTTTGGGACTCAGGTCGTTCTCCGAGGATGTCTCGGGCGACGGGGGCCTCTGGGGTCCCAAGACCGTGCGGTGACGGACCGTGCGGTGAGGTCTTGGGGGATTTCGAGGTCACCGCACGGTCTGTCACCGCACCGTTTCGGGACTCCAAACATGCCAAGGGACGCCCTGCTTGCCTCCAGGGTGCCCCCTGGGTTCGGCGTCGCCCCAGCATACTGATACTAGATGTGCGTCCCCCCCCCCGCAGGAACGACGCTCGCGCCGAGAGATCTTATAGGATATGCGTCGTGGCGGGCGCTTTCTGGCCACACCGCTCGGGAAGCGATATACTACAAGATGGGTATAGTATATGTTCGGGTCGGACGCGCGCCTCCAAGGAGGACATATAGCATTAGTATGTCTCTGTGCGTCCCTTGGGTTGCGTGGGTTTCGATGGTTTTGCTACGGGAAGCGTGGCGCTCCCGCACCAAACATCATTGGACGTCCCCTTGGGTCTCAGTCGAAGGAGGAGAGAGGCGGGCGGCGCTCCAGGCGCAGGGCGAGCGCGAGCGCGAGCGCAAGGACCTCCTGTGGGAGGAGGAGCAGGGATGGAGGAGGCTGAGGAGGAGGGGCAGGAGGAGGGGGAGGAGGAGGGGGAGGGAGGAGGAGATGGAGGAGGAGGAGGAGGATGAGGAGGAGGAGGAGGAGGTGGAGGAGGAGGAGGAGGAGGAGGAGGAGGAGGATGATGATGATGATGATGATGATGATGATGAGATGAGGATGATGAGGATGAGGATGAGGATGAGGATGATGATGATGATGCTGATGCTGATGCTGATGATGATGATGATGATGATGATGATGATGATGATGATGATGATGATGATGATGATATGATGATGATGATGACGACGACGACGACGACGATGATGATGATGATGATGATGATGATGATGATGATGATGATGATGATGATGATGATGATGATGATGATGATGATGATGATGATGGAGGAGGAGGAGGAGGAGGAGGAGGAGGAGGAGGAGGAGGAGGAGGAGTGGGTTTCTTGTGGAAGTTTTCTTGTGGTCGAGCTCCCACGGTACCGATCTACCGATACCGCTGCCCTTCCCTTGTCGCCACGGCTGGATTCGCCTTGAAGTTTTGGTCAGCACGCATCGCTGGAGAGGTCCAGGGAGCAGCGGTATCGGTAGCTTTTTGACTCGCCAGGCGGGTGGCCCTCTTGAGGGGTCCAGGCGGCTCGGAGTGGGAAGAGGATGGGGAGGGGTCAGGCTGGCCTAGGGCCTAGGATGAGGATGGATCGCTCCAGGCCGTGCTTGAGCGCTCTGGGACGGCCACGGCGCCCGACGTATCCTCCAAACCCGCCGGCCCAGAGTGCCGATGTATCCTCATCCGAATTTGTCCTCGTCCTGGCTTCGTCGTAGAGGGGGGGAGGAAGGTGGAGGATAGAAGGGTACGAATGAGGAAGCTGTGGGCATGGTTGGTTATCACATCGCTTCGCTTATTCCGCCGGCCCGTTTCGCATCACTGTGGCTGCGTGGTGCTGTGCTCTTGCCCAGGGGCGACGGTAGGGCAGGCAGGAATGTCCTCGAGGAGATCTTTGGAGATGTGGCTTCCACCCTGTCGGAGAGAGCCGATCGACGGCCCCAGAGGGCGCCAAGATGGCTCAAGAGAGCAGCAGAGTTTCGAGACGTACCTGGGTTGTGGGTCAGAGTCCTCATGTATGCTTCTCGGGGTCTCTTCGCAGAGCTCTCGGGAGCCTCTGGGGAGCAGTTTTGAAGCTTCTGGGAAGCTTTTTGGGGGCTTCTTGGGGACCTCTTGAGGGTTCCTGGCGTTTGGGGGTCTTGGGGGCCTCTTTTTGGGCCTCTTGGGATTTTCTTGGGGCCTCTTGGGGCTCTTGGGGGCCTCTGGGGGCTTCCTGGGCGCCTCTTGGGGCCGAGAGCTCGAAATGTCCGTACGGGTTCCCCCTCTGGGCCCCCTCTTGGGGCCATCCTGGAGCTGTCGTGGAGGCTTCTTGGGCTGTCTCAGGGCCATCTTGGGCCATGCGGGGCCCTCTTGGACGCTTTCTGGGCCGTCTTGGAGCGATCTTGGGGCCTAATTGGGCCGTCCAGGGCGGTCGGCAGATCGAAAGGCGGTACTGCCCAAATCGTCCGAGCACCCACGCAGAATCAACGATTTGTGCGTTCTCGGGGCCTCTCGAAGTCCTCTTGGAACCATCCTGGAGCGTCTCTTGGGCGCTCCTTGGGCCGTCGCGGGGACCACCGCGGGCCACCTTGGGACGCTCTTGGCCTGAGGCCGTGGGGCCCGGGTGCTCTGGGGGCCGCCCCCGAGCCCCCTCCCAGGGGTTCCGGCATCTCTGACCTGACGTTGCTGGGAACCTGCTGGGAATCTTCCTCCCCTCCTCCCCTCCTCCCCTCCTCCCCTCCTTCCCTCCTCCCCTCCTTCCCTCCTCCCCTCCTCCCTCCTCCCTCCTCCCTCCTCCTCCCTCCTCCCTCCTTCTCCTCCTCCCCCTATTCTTCTCCTCCTCCTCCTCCTCCTCCTCCTCCTCCTCTTCCTCCTCCTCCCTGCCGGGAACCTGCCGGGACTTGCTGGGTTCTTGCCGGGACCCTGCCAGGTGAGCAAGAGGTGGGCATGGATGGTTGTTCAAGATCAGCCGAACCTCTTGAGGAGGTCGTGGAGGTAGGGACCAGAAATGCGTTCGGACTTGCCAGCTGCATTCGAGATCAATTTCGACAGCCGTCCTTTTCCACAACTGGCTCACCTTTGTCGTCCTCGTCGTCGGCGGCGGCGTCGTCGTCGTCGTCGTCGAGGATCGAGGTTCGACGATCGAGGTTGGGAGTTTCGATGATCGAGATTACTGGGCGTTTCTTTTGGTTTCTGGAGGCCTCGGCAGGCCTGAGGCGACTTCGAGGATCTCTCAAGACCTCTGAAGGCCTCTGGGATCGTCTCTGGCAGTCGAACCTCGTCGAGGCCACTATGATGGCGTTGGTTTTCACATGAAGGAGCAGGACGAGGACGACGAGGAAGGTGGAGGAATGTGGAGGATGGTGGATGAATGCGGAGGACGCGCGGTGGCAGATGGATGGGAAGGTGGAGGAGGAGGAGTAGGAGGAGGAGGAGGAGGAGGAGGAGGAGGAGGAGGAGGTGGAGGAGGAGGAGGAGGAAGTGGAGGGCGAAAAGCGGAGGAGAGCTCTTGACTTTAGCCGCAGGGGCCATGTTCGCTTAGGGGGGCCGCTTCTGTCATCGAGGGTTGCGGTGGGCGAGCCGTTGGTGATCTGCTTTCACTCCCCGCGCATCCAGCTCCCAGGTGTCCCTCCGTACCACCGCCTCAACCATTCCCGCCTGCACGCTCATCCGCACAAACAAAGGCAGGCATGACCATACCTTCTCGGGGGGTCCAGCGCCAGTCCGAGAACTCCGCGCGGACCTCGGAGACATTCTTCGATAGCGTTTCATGACTTGGATCGCCGCGGGGGATGCTAAGAGGATAGGGGGATACAAGCGGATGCTAAGGTTGGTTGTATCCAGCCTAACCCAGTTCAGAAGTGGATTGCTCGTGCCCTAAGTGGCTGAAGGGCGTGCAGATCTCGGCCAAGTGGGCGGAGCCCACTTCGCGGAGTTACCTCATCATCATGAGCCACAACGGGCCTGGGTTACCCGCTTATGAGGCGGGCTAGGCCGGAGAGAACCCACTTTCGCATCCACTTCTAACCCCCCCTTTCCCCTCAGCAACCATCGCGGCGATCCAAGCAGTGGGAACAGAACTAGGGCCGCAGGGGAGTCTTCGCAGATGGGGCCAAGAAGAGCCCGAGGCCGCCGTCCGAGACCGCCCGTGCCGGAGGCGCGGTCCCGCCGCCGTGTCGCCGGAGATGTCCCCGCAGTCTGTGCAGGAGTCGTGCCGTCGTTCGGGTCACGGTGCTTGGATCGCCGCGGGGCTTGCTGAGGGGATGGTGGGGTAGAAGTTGGATGCTAAAGTGCTTTTTTTACCCAGCCCAACTCAGCTCAGAAGTGGGTCGCACGTGCCCCAAAATGGCGTAAGGGCGCGCAGATCTGGGCCAAGTGGGCGGAGCCCATTTGGCGGAGTTACCTCATCATCCTAAGCCACAAAGGGCACTTGCAACCTACTTATAATTGGGTCAGGCCAGACAAAAACCACTTTAGCATCCAATTCTACCCCCCCAATCCCCGTAGCAACCACCGCGGCGATCCAAATACGGTAGGTTCTTGCGGCGTTGGCGCGCCGGCGACGCCGGCGAAGGCGTTCAAGGCCGAATTTTGCGGCGCGGAAGCACCGATGGACACGTTAGCGCCATTGAACCCGACTGAATTCAACCTGGAACGATCGGGGCCGCGATCGATTCAAGGTTGAACGATCGACGCGGTGTCAAAAACCTTTGCGCGCGCCGTCGCCGCACGAACCTACTACCGTAGCAAATCATGGGAGCCTGGTTTACCCTCTTAATTCCGTCTTTAGCGTCGATTGGCGTCGGTTTGCGTCTGCGAGTCGATGAGATAGCTCTGATTGAGCGTCGGTTAGCGTTGATTAGCGTCGATCTGGCGTGGATTA